TTCCAAATCCCTGTGGAAATTTTCTAGACAGAATATTCATGTTTCTTAGCAACAAGAATAGTTCAGTCATTACAAACAAACAAGAATTCACTTTGGAGAAAAGCATCTTGAAAGAACATAGTAACATGCATATGGAGCCAGTCTATAAAAACCTCCTGTAATTTACTGAAACATAAAATCTATTTCTATGGGGCTTAACATAAAACATCCCCCTAGAAATCCTAATAGGGATGCACTTCAACCAGAGAGCCATGTATGAAATTATTTTAATTATCTTTTGGATTCGTGATACATATCACAGGTAAAGCTGAGTATCATTTCTTCCTAAAGTCTCTACGTTGATTATATCAAGTCACCTATACTTTGAGAGCAACCTATCTAGAGATCTATTACATATCTATTATCAGATTTTACTGAATACCTTTAACCACACAGCATACAACATACTATAGTTTCACACCAACAAAATGAAAATGTTAATTTACCTCTTTAATGATGCTACTGACTTCATCAGCAACAAAGGAAGCCTACAAAAAAAGCAGAATTTTAAATAATCAGTGGGCACATTCTTCTGTTTAGAGAGTTCAAGATCTGTTAAGAACATACAGTAAAAGTTTAATTTATGCTTGTCAGATTTCTGCTAAGTCAGAAAATACTAAGTCTTCCTTTATTTGCTCATACGTACTCTGGCTCCTTGAATCCAGGCAAGTTAACGTTCCTAGCAAAGTAATGAAAAGTAAGAGATAAACTAATATTAGTTGGCCTTTTAAGTCAAGAAAGTTTTCGAATTTTAACTTGGAAGGATTTTAAAATAACATGTAGCACTTCTGTACATATATATTCTCCTTTCACAATAAGCATCCATGTCTGCACATCAGAGTGGGCTCGCAGAGAGAACCTCAGTGTGCAGACACAGCCTGCAGTTAAATGAAACCTACATCTCCAGGTCACCCATGCGACAAAACATCAATTCTCGGCTGAAGGAAAAACTGTCATGACAATCTCAGCTGAGGATAAGAACAAAACTGCTCCTTGGAAAGCAAGGGGGATATGTAGCTCGCTGGACCTTCTCTCAGGCTCTGGAAAGAAGATTAAGCAGGTGGAATAAGGAGAGAAAAGGCCCCAGGATTTTCTTAATCTTAAAACTGCTACCCATTTACATGTATGGTTGGTTGGTAGATTTTCTTGTTTTAGTCTCTCAGCTCTTTTTGCCCCCCACATCAGGAGGCTTGAACAACCCACCACTCCTGCTGGGACACCCACTCACAAGGCCAGGGAGCACTAATGGGGAACCCCCACGAGGTGTGTCGGTGAGATACACACCACACTGTCACTGCTGGGACCTCACAGCCACACCTCACAAACCAGGGCTAAAGAAGTGCACATAAAAGCAAACTAATTAATTTCTGAAGACTGAGTAAGGATGTAAAAATGAACTTAATGAAGCACATGTTGACTGGGTCTTCACTGGGAGGTCAGTCAGCTCCTCCAGCTGACAAACATGAACAACAGCAAAACTCACATGGGCAGGCAGGATGCAGTTACACCTGCGCAGGAGAGTTTCAGCATTACTTTCATAAACCTTTGATCAGAAGGTGAACAGCCAAATGGCTTCAATGACATGTGACATTCAGAAAGATGTGAGCTGCTGATCATTCTCTATGACAAAAGAAACAGTACATGCCGAGAGACACGCGGGCAATTCCTTTTCTATAACTCGTTGTAGGCACCAATTTGCTTGCACACTTCAACAGTTTTAAAAGCTTTTATGTGCTGAGGCAATTTTTTTTTTTTTTAATTTTGGCTTTTATTTTCAGCTTCTTAACTTTAATTTTAATATGCCTCGTTTATTTTCCTCGTTTATTTTACAGGTGCACCAGTGTATTTAGTCAAGTAAGAGCAACAATTATCAAAACACTCTGTCCCAAAGAGCATAAGTTAAAAATATGCATGCCAGACATGCTAGCAGACACGAAGGCTGCTGTCAGACAAGATGATAAACCATATACAGCTTTCTTTTTTCTTCACAAAGGCTAGAACTCTGTTCAGACACGCTATTGAGCACAAATACAGTTCACCAAAGTAAAATGACTTAAATTCAACCCAAATTCTTGAAGGTATTTCAATATCTAATTTGTACTGAAACAATAAATAGATTTGAGAATATGTTTCTAGAGCTGCTGTTACTTTTCAGTCTTCTTCCCTTTCTGAGATGACAAAAGAGAACAAATTTCTGATATCCAGCTTTGGGATTTATGTGCTATAATTGAGCTGCCAAATAATGCAACACTGCCAGTTCACCTTTTAATAAGATAGCATAAACGCTGTTTTGTATTTAAAAAAGTGTAAGCGTTACAATTTCCCTGCAGTACCTCTAAGACACAAAGAAAGCAGACACGATGTTTCCAACGCCTTGTTTAAAAGGGGCGCTTCCCAGGCAACAAACGCAAACTTGCAAAGCAGTGCTATGCTTTAGTAATTATTGAATACGTTTTCGAAAGCACCTATAAAAGTGATGTTCGAGTATGTTAATTTATGTATGTTATTTATGTCTAACACTGGCCCAACCCGGCAACCAGGAGAAGGCTTTCAGACCACCACAAGCCTGACTGACACGCCTTGGCCCCTCTCCCTGCTTCCCTATTGTCTAACCCAGCCACAACGCGGCTCTTCAGCAACAGTGTCACAGCTCTTCACAGTGTCACAGAAAAACTGTCTTCCTGCAAGAGCAGTACTTGTCTGGGTGCTCAATTAGACCCTTGATTTATCCCACCTCGAATCCTGCTAAGGAGGTACGACGCCTCATCAGTGCGCCTGTAACACGCACACCGTAAGCCTGAACTCCTCTTTCCGCACAGAAACACCTTGCTCGAGTGTCCCCCTGACCTACACCGCACTGGCTTCCCTGCCGCCATGGTACACCGCCTCACCCCGCCGGGGAAGCCACAAAGCCAGGAATGCCCTGCCGCGTTCCCCCCGAGCCCCCGCAGCGGCAGCTCCGCCAGGGGACAGCAGCCCATCGCACACCCGCACAAGGGGCCGGCTCCCGGGGGGGAGGCAGAACAAAGGCCAGGCCCGTCTCCCACCGCTGTCTGGGACACGCGGCTCCACCCTGGGGAAAGGTGGCAGGGATCGGGGCGATGGCGGCGGCGGACACGGACGGGTGAGATCCGGGACGGACAGGCACCGCCTGAGACCCTCCGCCGGACCTAAAGGGAGGCGCCAGGCGGGAAGATGTCCTCCCTCTGACACCCCCCCCCCCCCCCCCCCCCCCCCCCCCCCCCCCCCCCCCCCCCCCCCCCCCCCCCCCCCCCCCCCCCCCCATCCCGTTACCTCCTCTCCCGACTGGAACTCATCCATGTTCCCGGTGCAGCCTCTCCCGCCGCCACCGACCCCCACACCGCCGCCCGCCTCTCGCACTGCGCCTGCGCGCCGAGCGCCCGGCAGGGCTCGGGCTCCTGCCCAGCGCCCTCCAAGATGGCGCGGTTGCCATGGCAACAGCGACGGGGAGCCGGGCGGGGAGATGGCGCTCGGCGCCGCCGCGGGACCGCTGGGGCGCTGTCAAACATCCCAAACCCCGGGGCTGAGAGACAGGGGGCTCGTCACGGCTTGTCACGGCTGGGCTTTTCATACGGATAGCTTGCCGTTTGTGTTCAGTGATGCAAGGGGTCCCTCCCCGGGAGGTCCTTCCCTCTTTCCCTGTAAGAGAAGATGGGTCTTCGTCTTATTTCTGGAAACAGATCTTGAAATCAATGCCTTCATTTCAAAAAAATGAATTCATGTATGCCATGGAACTGAAAAAAAAAAAAAAAAAAAGTCCAAACATACAGAAAAACTCTCGCTGTCATTATCTCAACTCATGAGCTTTTCATTATATTTTCTCACCCCTGCCCAGATGAGGAGGGGAGTGACAGAGCAGCTTTGGTGGGCACCGTGTCCAGCCAGGGTCAACACACCACAGAAGAATATCTGATTTCTTACAGTTCTAAGCAGATCACGTTATTTTTAGCAGACAGAGTAAGAATCGGGACAATGAAATTAAAGGGCACACTTGCCACAGTTTATGGATGCCGTGTGTGTGCAGTGTTTACAGATTGTCCAAATTACTGATGCTACCAGCCTCTGAGAGCTGTTGTAGGCAGTGGAAGATGCTGGTCAGGCTCAGAATGGCCTGGATAAACTGCAGAAATGGTGTGGATGAAGGAAGACATAAGTTACTGGGTGCAAGTGCAAAGGGCTATAGTGAGGCAGGAATAACCAGCTCTACAAGCACAGACAGGGCAGGACCAGCTCACTCAGTATCTGTTCATAGACAACAGAGTAGCAGGGTTGTTCAGGTCCTGTGGAAAAAAAAAAAAAAAAAAAAAAAAAAAAAAAAAAAAAAAAAAAAAAAAAAAAAAAAAAAAAAAAAAAAAAAAAAAAAAAAAAAAAAAAAAAAAAAAAAAAAAAAAAAAAAAAAAAAAAAAGATGCCATCCTGGGCATCTAAATGGACACATAACCTACAGGACGGGGGAAACAGCATTCCTGTTGCCCTCTCTACAGGAAGGCTGCAGAGGGACTACTGTATGAAGTTTTGGGCATTGTATCAAGAAGGCTGTTGGAGTTACAGCCCCACTGATGGGACCTCAGCTGCCCCAATCAGTTTTAACCTTGTGTCCAATCCTGTGTCAGGCTCTGCCTCCTGTTCCTCCTGAAAAAGGAGACCCTGACCGCTCACTTCACTTTAGGGCTCTGTGCGCACCCTGCAGGCAGCACCAGCTCTGCCCATCCTGCAGGGTTACTGTGGCTGGCTACTGAGCACACCCTCAGCCCCATTCCAAGCCTTCTGATGTCTGCTTACACTAGTCAAAAAGCAGAGACAGAAAGCTGAGGGCTATGGAAAGGCTGACCAAGTGATGCTTGTTTGAACAAAAGCACAAAAGGCTTCAATTTGGTTATATTCTTAGCACATATAAAATACTGCGACAGATTTCCACATCCAGGGATGAGAAGGAAAAATACAGTGAGTTAAATACCTGGCAACTAAGGCTTTGTTTAAATATTAGGGGAAGGCTGGTGGTAGGGATAACGTTCCCCAACCCGGATTTGGCATGCTATTAATATGCTGCTGTGGGTAGCTAGAATCCTCAGGCTGGTTCTGGTCTTTCATTCAGTTAAAGCTTTGCCTGAAATTAAGGGCCAAATTAACCAAATATGACACATATATGCACAGCTCTGTGCCCCACTAACAGTTGCTTTCCTTCCATGATGCAGCTGAAGAAGGTGATTAAACTTGACAAACACAGGTGGGAATGTTTGAACCTATTTAACTTCATGAGGTTATAAAAATGCAGGCTCTTAAACTTTGCCATGTGAGTAAAATTGCTGTGCTTTGTTTAATTATAGCTAGAAATAAGGAATCTTAAAACTCCTGGAACACTAAGAGTGCTTCTGTGTTGTACATACAGTTTGGCAGAGCCAGAAACAAGAAAGGAGATTGTCCTGTAAGAATAGCCTCTTTTATTTACCAGACTTTGAAATAATTGGAATGTAATTTTGAACTTCATTACCCACATTTAGTTCTGTAATAGACTGAATTGGGATATCCAATCCAAATAATATTTTAACTTTCAGTTGTTACCTGAGATCAGATTTCCAGTTGTGAGGTAAAATAACTTTCTTCTTTTTGCAGGTGCATAAAAATTAATTGTTTTGAACTTTTATCTATTCTAATTGCTTTGTTATATAGACCTAAATAGAAAACTACTTTTGTTTCCAGGAAAGAACTGTTTACGCTACAAAGTTACAAGTTTTCTCTGCAAGTCCTGGAGACTTTGAGGTTAGAAGCATTTTCACATCTATAGTATCAGAAAAAGAAACTATGTAGAACTCAAAGCCACTTCTCTTCCTGTGCGTGTGGCTTGAAGACTGGGCGTATTTTAATGTATCAGTCAGCTTTTATAGTCTCTTGTGCCGAGTCTCTTTTTAACTTTAGAAAAATTAATATCTTCTCTTTGCTTGTTGCTCGTAACAAAACCAGAGACTTGACAAAAGCTTTTGTAACACTAGAGCTCTTTGTTGAGTGCATTTGCTTTTAGTTGTTTTGAGGATGTTTCTCTAAACATACATCAGTAATATCAATGCCCAAATAAAGGAGGTGGAGAACAGCCACCAGTTTTCTTTAAGGAAAGATAATAATAGGAGTGCCACTCATCTTTTAAAAGCAGTTTACTTCTGTGTGTCTTTCTTTGGTGGCTGCTGAAGAGGTAAGGACGTTGTTTTAATCTATTCTGTATGATAATGCACGGAGGGATGCATTTTTACCTACTAGCATGATGTTTTTCATACTGCAAGGGTTTAATGTAAAAGCCACAACTGGAACTTAATTGTTTGCGTTGGGTTTTGCTGTTTGTTTGTTTGTTTTTTTTACTTTAAATTCTGGGGTGGGATGTTACCACAGACATAATTTTGGTAAAGCATTATCAAAGGATTTATAAGTAATTTGCATGTGCACAAGCAGGGATGTGAAAATTAAAAATAAACCGTTACAGCCAGGTAGTACAAAATAACATTTGCAATTTTCTTAACTAAGAATAAATTTATGAGATTGGCCTCAGCAGAATAGAAAATAGCCACAAATTACAGTGGCTTTTGTAATTGTTTTTACTCTGAACCTTCTTAATCTGTGTCCTAGCTACTGATGTATTACGTCTATTTTCTGGGTTAATGGATGAAGTAATCCAATTATCTCAAGTCAATGAAGACTGTCACTTTAGAAGATCAGTTTATTTATACTTATTAAATTGTCACTATTTTGCTAATGTTTAAGGATCTGAAAGGAGATCAATAATACATTACATGTAAAATTGCTTTGAGGAAAAGCTTGCTAAGTCAGGTGTTTCTAAGTTTAAAAACTTAAAAAATAAGCTACCTTTTACAAACTTAATCTTGTTAGATAGACCTCTTGATTGATCTTCAGTTGCATAGCTATATATAGTTTTATGCTGATATAAAAGAAAAAAGTATATTTTATTGAGATTGTACTCAGTGCCTTCATGTCTCCTTCTCCTAAGGCATGTTTGTTATTCCTTTTCCCTTCATGGTTTTGAGACTTTGTGTGATATTTTCAAAAAGTACTGATCCATCTGTAATTTAAAATAAATAATGTAATAATAATAAATACTTAAATTTATAACAATGCTCGAAGAGAATATTTGATGTGAACTTTGTGCTGAAAAGGAAGAATTGTCATGATATTTACTAAAGAGGTTGCTTCTGGTTTTGGTTTTACATAAAAGATGCTCAGCTTCGAGGTTAGCTGACCACATAGAACAGCTAGCTAACTGGATTCAATGAGTAAACAAGAAAGGAGGGCATCTATGAAGGTTTATAATGTTGTTTCTTCCTGTCAAAGAGGGTCATTACTGAAGAAGCTTCTTTATTACTGCCAAAAACCTAATCTAATGCAGACAGCTTTGGTGTAAGAGAAAAGCTCTTCTTTTGCAGTGGTAGAGAGCTTTAGAGTCCAATTTGAATGCTTCTGTGGAATGATTACAAGTTCAAGTCTGTTGTGGGACCAAAAACTATCTCCCATTTGGGGGGTTATAGTGCTTTTCTAATACTTCCTTCTGAAAACTAGCTCATCATAAAGCCAGATTTTAAGTTGCCTTTGGATGTGCAAGAAAAAGTGACAGAACACAGTGGTTGTAAGAGTTGAAATCTCATGAAAATTAAAAAACCAACAACTGTAGGAGTGTGCAGGTGTAATATTGCTAGAGCTGCTGGCTGCATGATGAATTTTAAGCTTTGTCTGCAGTTGTGCTGATCATGCCCAGTGGTGAGAGAGCCATGGTGGCTTTTTCCCTCTTTGCACAGGGCAAATGCTGTAGGATGGAGGGCCCTGGCACTTCTCTCTGCAGTAAGTTTGTTCAGTTGTTTAGTACCAGAAGACGATTCTAGTCTTTCTGTCCTGGTCCCCACTGGCACTTTACTGCTAGCACTAGATTCAGTGCTTGTGATTTATCACTATGAATAGGGTATGGAGAGTAACATTAGATCAGCTGGTTTTGATGTTTGCAGTATCAACAACGGGCTGAGGCTGAATGCACTTCTGGAAGATCCTGCCCTGGTTAGGGCAGAAACTGTGTCTCCCTGGGGGAATAGCTTTTAGCAAGACAAATTAGAAACAACGGGGGTTCTAAGCTCTTCCTTCCATCTCAGTGTTAAAATTTGTACAAGTTTGAATAGCTGAAATAATGTTTTGTTTGTTAGTTTTGTGCGTCTCTAAATAAAATTCTGTGTGTCCTTTGGAACACATCTCTCAAAACAGTCTTGGTATATGGAAAACTTTGTGTCCTGAAAGCAGTTGAAGGATGTAGGGGCCTTTGAAAGTGACTTATATTGTGTTAAAAAGTTGCTAAGGCTTTCTATGTTTCAAATGAGTAATTTCCTGTGAAATTGCAGTTGGTAAGGAAATAAAATATGATTATGCCTATCTCTGTCTCTTTCGTTTCCACAGGAAACCAATCTTTTTTTTTTTTTTTTTTTTTTTTTAGCCTTTAACACTGCTTCTGTGAAATGCTTTGTCCTTTTGGTGTATGTTGAAGGGTTTCACAAAAAAAACAAAAACAAAAACAAAAAAAACACCACACATTGTCACTCTATATATGAAGTTTTGGTGGGTGAGGGTTGGTTTGTTTAGTTTTTGGTTGTTTGGTTTTTTTAAATTAAACTCAGTATTTTAAAATAATGTAATCAATATAGTGTCAGCAGTACAGATGGTTGCTCAGATTCTCAGCTGAGGTCCATCAGTGAAACAGCAGTAACTGCCTTGGGAAAGCTTTACCCTGCTGTCCTAGCATCTAGACCTTTTTTCCTAGAGCCTGACTGTGTGTATTTACTCCAGATTAGGCTTAACCAGTTTTCATGTACACATCTTTAATATTTGGTGTACCATAATTTTCTTACATTTCTCATAATCCACATTAGATACCAGACAGCAGTATTGAAAATTAATGAGGTGTCCGAGCTGGTTTGGATTGAATAACCATTTTCTGTCTTGACTTTGCTGTGAAGTATATTAAAATTGTTTAATATTTTTGTGGGGGTTCTGCAAAAATGAAGATCACAGAATACATTCAAACTACAGCTGGGATTCTGTTTGAATTTTATGCTTCTCATATTCTTGTATACAAACTTCTTCGGTTTGGGGCCAAAGTTGTTAGTGCACTGAGCTGAAAATAATAAATAACTTTTTAGTGTTTTGGTGTATTAAAAAAAGAGAATGGCATTATTTGGTATTAAACTCTTCATCTAGACTTAAAAGACAGAGGTAATTGATAAAAGTGACCCTTAGAGATGTTTTTCCTTTTAGTTTTGTGATGTTTTGCCTTTTCAATAAAAGGAGATTAGATAGGGACATTTTTTTCCTCAAAAATTTTGTCACAAGGACTATGACTTCTCCAGTCATGGGATCTGCAGGCCTGTGGTCAAAAATAACTTAAGCTTTTTTATTGGTTGTTTTATTTTAACTGTACAAAAAGCCAAAGATATGTGCCTGAGTGTTACTGAACAGTATGGTGAGACTCTTTGAAGAACAGGACTGTCTTAAAACCTGTCCTATATCTGAATTAGTGTATGAAAGGTTTGAGTATAGCAAAATGTGTTCTTCAAATCTTATTTTAAATGTCTTGAGAAGGTGAAGAGATAATAACATGTATTTTTTTTTTCCCCTAGGCCCAGAAGGCCCAGAAATCCCAAATCTACAAGACAAAATAAAAAATCTCAAACCAGTCCCCCCACTCCCTTACACCATCTCTTGACAAATTGTCCCTCTATCTGGAGGCAGTTAAAACCCTGTCTGGGGCATTGCTGCAAGCTCTCATCTCTTTTGGACTGTCTCTCAGTGGAAAAAAAAAAAATAGAAAAGAACAGGAAGTTTAAGGATATGAAAAAGTCAAGACTGCTGTGACCTTGATAACTGTTCATATTCCCTGGTTTGCAGAGACACCTAAGTGATGGTTTGTGTGAAGACAGGCACAGTTATTTTTCTTTTCAAACACATCACCAATTGAGTAAGAGCACAGGCACTTAGTAAACACCCAGACCGTTGTTCTGGATATAGTAGAACCCATAGGACAGGAGTCTACAGAACAAGTGAAATTTGGAGAAAATGGCCTGTGAATTTAATTTGAACTTCCTTAAGGAATTGGAACGAGAGGCTGTTCTGGAAGTCCTGTACCGTGATGAGATGGTGAGAAAAACAGAAGAGGAAAGAATAAGGTATGTGTTCCTCCCCTATTCCTGTATTCTGTTCTCTTTTTTTGGAAGTACTTTTCTTCCACTCTGTCCTTCCAAATGTACTCCTTTTTTAACTTCTTGTTACGTAATGTTTTTTTATTTTTTTGGAAAACCAAGGGTTATCCAGAGCCTCTGGAATGTACCATTCCATTGACTCTACATTAAAGATGAGCAAATACTGTTCTGTGAATAACATACTGGATGAATTTTACTTTCAGCCTTCATAGAAAGTTCAGTTGCTGCCTGTATTTTTTCTAGGAAGGCTTTATGGCATTTTCATCACGTTCCCATGTATGCATACATAGTCCTGGTAATACAGAACAAGTTCAGATCTTTGGCTGGCTTATTTAACGTAAGTTGTGCCAATACTGGACTTAAGAATCATTGGATACCTGCTCGTTGTGCAAAATTCATCACTGTCCCTTCTCACACACAACAAGCAGCAAGCACACAATGCTGTTTCAGAGGTTGTTACTGTTGTCAATAGGTACCATTGGTCAGCAACAGGATTTTATTAAATAACTTCACATTGTGCAAGCATCTCAGTTGGACAGGATAAAGGATAATTCTCCAGCACTTTTTTTGCTTTATGTCACGGCTAGGACAAGGATTTCCTTGCAGCTTGTACCCATCTTTGTGACATTGCATCCCCATATAAACAAGGTATTTGTGTGGATAAGATATATTTTTTTAGCCTCTGAAATGTGAAAACTTAAACTTTGCTTACAGCAAACAGTTATGTAAGTATTACTGGACATATTAAATGAAGACAATTAAGTGAAAAGTAAGTAAAGGATTATACAGAAAGTCTGAATTGGTCAGAAAATCCCTTTCTACAGTTGATGGTGTTGGTAACAGTTAAAACATCTTGATTATTCGTACATGTAATGGAAGCAAAGTTAATGAAAAGGAGAGGTTTTGATCTTTTGGGCTGGTGTAGTTTTTTATTTAGCTTTCAAATGATGCATTTGTTATGATTATTTTTACTTGATAGATCTGATTCTTGAATAACTATGGTAAAAAACATCAAATAAAAGGGAGCACCATTTAGTCTCAGTTTTCATGTCAGTGCATAATCACTTATATGATTTCAATACCCTGCTCTGAGCATGCCTAACATGATCAGAACCCCATTTATACTAAACTGTTTCTCTGTTAGTATGCACAGTTCTGGTCACATATACAGTCACACTGAAAAAATGTTGTGTATGGATGCCTTCAGACGGTGCTCAGCTGAGGTCACACTTGAGGGCCTGTCTCCCACTCGTAACGGTACTGCACAACCAGGGTATTAGCTTGTGACTTTCATGAGGATTTTGGTCTATCTAATTTTTTTTATTATTTTTCTTTTTTTCTTTCTTTTTACCTGGGGGGTTAGGAAACTGAAACTGCATCTACATCAGCTTCGGTGGAAAGGGGCAAAAAATGTAAGCCATGAATATCAGGAGAGGTCTTGTGCTCGCTGCCACAAATCACTTGGGTTGCTGATGAACAGGGGGGCAGTATGCAATGGCTGCAGTCATCGAGTATGCTCTGAATGCCGTGTCTGCCTGAATCCCTGCCTTTGGAAATGCACCATTTGTTACGCTCATGGGTAAGAAACTTTACTGCTTTGGACAAATGCTGGTTCACATTGGTCATCCAATGGATGCCCACTGGTTTTGTATATCTTTTGCTTAAACAATTAATGGAACAAAGCCTCTGGTGTAATGAAAATGTTGGCTGGAGTCCTGGTGATAATGAAATAGGTGGGAACTTTGTGCTGTACTTCACATAGTCAGGATTTCCTTTCCTATGTTTAGCAAAATGTATCTTCAAGGTAAGCCAGAGGTAGTGGGGCAAAGTCGATAACAGCAAAGCAAAGCAACAGTCTAAACCATGGAGAGAACTCCTTCCCCTGACTCAATATTGAACCAGCGCATCCTAACAAGCTGCTGAAGGTGCTGTGCTTTGTAGTACAGTCAATTTCTTGGCAATTTCCTAATCATGATTTTCTGCTTCTTATTACAGGAGTGAGGAACCTGGATTGATAAATATTAAGTAGTCATGTTTTATAAAAATTTATTAAGCAAAAAATACCAGTAACATTATAAGGATTTTTTTTTCAAACATGGCTAGAAATCCAAATTTGTTTACTTTGAATTAGTTAGTTTTTCTTTTACTATATCATGCTAGTTTTGTTTTCTTGGACAGAGGAAACAATCTGTCTTTTACTATATTAGTGCAATTTTTATATCAAGATATTCCATCATAGTCCATTCTATTTATTAGAATATTTTTAAACCAAATGGTTTAGAATACTTCCACATTTGATGAAAAATAATATGTAGGCAAAGAATGATAGTTTTGGAAATTAATCAAAAGCTGTGCTGAATTATATATATCCCTGTACAAAGGATGAGGATTTGGATGCAAATTTACTTTATACCAACACAAGATTAATCCACCACTTCACTCTCTCTGAGGGTGGAAAAACTGAGATTAGAATAGTGGGAAATGTAAGGCAAGGTACTGGTCTTAAACTAAATGAATTTGTACTAGTTTGATGTAATTTTCTATAGTTTGGAAGAGAGTTATGGTTTATAAAAAGATAGCTCAGTGCTCCCTGGTAGCCGCCTAAAGTCCTGCTTGGGACCATGTCCTCTATCATTGATGTTCCCTGCTCCTCAGAGTAGGCTGCAGCTGTAAGCAGTCAGGAGGCCAGACAGCACAAGTGCTTGGGCTGTGTTGCAAGTTGGTTATATAGACTGGAGTGGATCTGGGACTCCTGGCTTCAGAGCAATGCCTAGAGCAGTACGTATCACTTTCCATGGGCAGTCCTACACAGCAGAAAGGAAAACAAACAAAAAACCCCTCCAAACTAAAACAATTCTCTCCCAAAGACTCCTCCCCTCTGTTTTTTTCAGACACACAAAAAAATTGGTCAATGGATTGAGCAGTCGTGAAATCTTAGTTTTATGGTAGGAATGAAAAAGATTGTTGTATTGTTAAATAGTTACCAGACATTTGAAGAAAGGCACCTGGGAACATGGTGATTCAAATATCTTTTCATTGTTTTCCAGAGATGTTAAAGTAAAGGCTGGTGAATGGTTCTTTGAGGAACGAGCAAAGAAATATCCAGGTGAAGGTAATCACTGGAATAGATCATAAACTGCTATGTAATACGTAGTCATCATCTAAGTGAAACATAGAATGTAGTCTACCACTGTATTTAACATTTCTTCCATTTGATGAGAGATGTGTCAGAAATTGCCGTGCAGTGCATCTGTCTGTGCACTAAATGAAACATGAACACAAACCAGCAGGATGCATTTTAAAGTACAACTCTTTTTTTTTTTTTTTTTTTTTTTTTTTTTTTTTTTTTTTTTTTTTTTTTTTTTTTTTTTTTTTTTGAGTAATAACAAAATTGCTGGCCATATCAGTTTGAATTGATGACTGTGTAAGACTTTTAAGAAATGCAATGACATGAAATAAATATAGAAATGTTAAAGTATATATTCAGGAAGGAAATTATCTTGCATCTATCATTTGTCCAAGTTTAAAGCTTCAGTTGTTTTCCCTGAGAAAGTTCTAAAGCTGAAAGAAATGATGGAATGGAAGAAAGAAAAACATGTATAGCTATAAATCAACAGAGAGCTAAACACTTACTGTTTTGCTACTTTCAGACAGCTGTGCCACTGCCTTGTGTTCAGTCTTTTCAGTGCCATCGTAAGGACAAAGTCTTAAAAGAAATTATGGGAAATGTGTTTTGCCAGCTGAGGGGGTGTTAGTTTCTGTTTCACCTACAATAACTAGTGAGGTGGAGAGGATGTCTTTCCTCTTTCCCTTGACGTGCCACTTCAGATAGGCAGCAATTTACTTTGTGCCTGAATGTAGTCAATGATAAAGTTTCACTACCAGAATCTGCATTACATCTAGGTTTAAGAGTAGTTGGAGAAAAGGAAGGAATTCGGCCTTAAATATTTCTGGGGAAACTTGAATAGGAAGAATTTGGTAAGTGTAAGAATGTAATCAGTCAAATTTTAGGTAGTAGGTATTCATGAAAGACAGCAAATAGCATATTGAGAAACTAAACTACAGCTCCTGCTAAAAAAAGTTCATTTAAAATTTGAAAGATTTCACTGCAGCCTATTCTAGCCAAGATAATTTCTGATTTTAAAGTACTAGCTGACTTATCTTTAAAATCACACTTTTAACCAATAACCATTGTTAAAAATTTCTCCTCAATTTTTTCAGTGAGTCTAAAGCTGGTAATTTTATGAATCTCTCTGTTATTGAAGGTACTGACTGTTTCTTTTTCCAGAAAATAAATGAGTTCTTGCTTTGAATTATCAAAGCTTTGTGGGTGCTTGAAGCATTTTGCTTAGATATACTGTTGAAGTCACAAAGATCTAAGGATATACAGCAGATAAACCTGCAGGGAGAAAAATGTTTTGTTTAGTTCCTTTGATTAGACCAATTGATATAATTAAAGAGGTTAAAAAATGGCAAACTAAAACACAACAGCTGTTGTGCATCCTTCAGTCCTGGAGAGACAGTGCCCTCTTTTGGTATGAAAATACAGCACAACTGAAGTATTCACTGGAAAGTAAGTTTAACTGAAAAAACCCACAAATGTTACAGTGAAGTTTTCTCATGTTATAGGCTAAAAAAAACACCCAAAGATGACATCAGTATGCTTTTTAATATTTTATTGTAGCTTCTACCTAAAGAATAAGGTCAATATTTTCATAAAAGTGGTATATTGCCTTTAATGACTAATAAATTTAAAATCTAAGATAGTAAATATTACTTATTAATAATAGAGCATGAATAATGGAGTCCTGATTGAAAGCTGTAATATTGATGACCTGATTATTATTTCTATCACCACCAAGGTCTACTACTTTTATGTAAGCAGTATTATAGTCAGTGATATCTTTAGTAAAACATGGATTACATGCTGCTTTCTGAATTAGGAATTATTAGTGATTAAGGATACTCCAGATCATTTCAGTTGGCCATTTGTTACATGTTAGTCCTTCTTTGTGTTTGTGATCACCTGGGAACAAACTAGAGTTTTATGAGTCTTCATTCTTCGTGCCTGATGAAGCACTTGCTCCTTGGTGTTCTTTACACCATGTGGCTGCTCACCTGAGGAATGTGACATGGTTGTTATTTCCCTGCAGGGATGGTCTTAACAAAGGGTATTGCTCATGTTTGTGAGCTAGTCAAGCATTTTCATGGTTGTTCAGGTCTCTCGTAGGAAAAACGGGAGGAATTTTTCATGAGATGCAATAGATGACCATGTGCCTGCTCTTATAAACATTTTCAAGCTTTCCTTAGTGTTTGAGTTTTATGGTTGAAGTGTGTTTTAGTGCAGTGGGCCTGTGCACTACCTGCCTCCTGGACTTCAGGAGGCTGAGAGCACTTAGCAACCTGTAGGAATGAGCCTGTTAGTATCTGTATGTGATTGTCCTTAGCACTTGTGAAGAGTTAGTCTGAACATGTCACCTGTGAGAGGTGAAATCATGATAGTTTGTGACGCAGGAGAAATTTATGTTGCTTGGCATGTATGCTGATACATTAGATGGGAATTGATTTCACTCTTGGCTTGTGTGTGCATGAGTTTCTGTAAATACAGGCCTGTTCCTGAAAGGCACTGGTTTTAAAAAGTGAGTTATACAGGCATTAGGAACTGCTGTTGTTGCTAAATGACCTTTGGATTTTTTTTTCCTACTTCACAGGCAGACATGAAACAGTTGGTGCAAAGCTCTTGAAATCTTATCAGAAACTGAGGTAAGACTCAAAAGTACAAGCGGTCCTAGGACACTGAGAATTTGTATAGGTGATCTATTTTGTGTTATAAACTAGCCAGCAGTTTGTATTTTTTTATTATGAAAATTCAACACTTTTGGAATACAAATGACAAAAACGTAGAAAAATGGTCACTTTTATCTGTCAGCAATCCACAGAAAAGATCTGAAGTACAACAGAGAGTACTATGTTTGGAGTAATAGTGCCTTCCTTGACCTGAAGGGACATCCATTATTTTTGTTTTATCTGCTTATATTTTTTGCATAACTGTTTATACCATTCTCTTTTAAATTTGCACAACACTTTTCAGTGATCATAGATGAAAACTGTTTACTAGTTGTCGTAATAGCATCGTTATTTGCTCAACAGGAGATATCGCTGATATGATAGTTTTAGAATAAATAGTAGAGAGGAAGCTCTGTATTCAATTAGACATTTCCACTTACCAAACTTTTAAAAAGTAAAAAAATCTAATTTACAGTGGATAAGTACTTTGACTAGAGGCTGAAGCATGCCCATACTTAAGTTATTACCAGTGATATATAATGAAATAACAGTCTGCTTAAACTACATTGTATTAAAGTAACCCTTTTCCTTAAAACACAATACCAAACCAAAACAACAAAAAGAACCACCAAAAATAAAACCAACCAACCAAACCCCCTCCCCCACCCCTGAAATCCCACGTAAAGTAAGATATGTAGAGATGGCCTCAATTTATTATAATTATCTGGTGAGGCATAGCTGCATAAGACAGAAACTTATAGTCAGCAAGATAAGATCCTAACCAGAGCTTGCTCTTACGTAGATGTGGTAAAACTAAAAGAGAATCAAAAAGGAAGTTCACCAGCTGCCTCAAGGACTGTGATTGTGCTGTGATAACAGAATCAGAGAGATAACAGATTCTTTTTCACAGACCAGCACTATTTACCACAGATGGAATGGCAGGAATGCTGTAAAGGGTCTCTAACAGCTCTGGAACTGGGCAAGAAAGGATCCTTTTAATATTGTAAATAAAGATGACTGTTTTCTGAAAACATCTCTGAAGTAGAAATGGGGTGTGTTATACAGGAATTGTGTTTTAGAACACAGATTGTAATACTATCAACTGTATAGAAGTCTAGGGAATCTGTCCTAAATTAGGTCTTCCTGGTAGTTCTAATTTATTAATTTTACCTAGATCAGCCAGCTATTAAGAAGATAGAAAGGTAGACCTAATTTTTAGGAACAGGTGACAAACCTATGCTGCAGCTCTTAAAGACATGGGATGTCAAACCAGATTTTTATGGAGTACTGGATGGACTATATCATAAAAATAATATTATTATAAAAATAAAAACCGTGGTTTATTTATCCATCTATTGGCATAATATATTAAATGTTGTTAACTGTTAATCTCTTACATTTCCAGTAAAATTTCTGTCGTACCTCCAACTCCACCTCCTTTCACAGAATCAACAACAGGAACCAGTGTGATGGTAAGTGTATGTATCTGCAAAATATACGTATATATACGCACCTCATAGAGTTTCATTCATATGTAAAGGTCAGCCACAGAAGTGTAGTAAACAACTACTGCTGTAACATCACACTGCTGTATAAATGGTGCCTTATGTTCTTTGTCATTATTTTTATGCTGCGTTGGCTTGAGGAGAAAAAGATTAGAGGCTATGAGGGCTGTTTTCACTTAGTTTTCAGTTTTTGAGGGAAGTGATTAACCACTCTACTTGACACTAGAATGCTGCATCTGGTTTTTGGTGCCTCACTACAGGAAGACTGGGCTGGCATCTCCTGAGCTCTCCTCAAACATGAAGGGGGATCCCATGTTCCTGAGACATTCAATAGTTATTTATAAAATGATCATTTCATGTGTCACTTTCATTATTGAGTGAAGAACAGTGAATTTGATGGTTGCCTTTGCAGTACAGTTTCTAGTGGACAGAATAGTAGGACATGGCTCAGAACTCATAAAAATTGCAATGAACTAGTATTTCAGTTCATTTTGGACTGGATCCTCAGGCTCTGTTGTCTAAGCCCATTGCAGTTCTGTAAACAATCTTATATGCATATCTGGACTTTGACAAAAACTTTGCTTCAGAGGCACAGGAACATCTATAATAGATAAAAGTATTAACTATGTTACAACAAACTGGTGATGTAATTAGTTGTATTTATGAATACTTCTACAGAAGTGAGCAAAGGGATGCACCCTTACCATCTGATATAATCACGGAAATTTTAAAATGACAAATGTTATGTTTTCTTACTCATGGCATCTCCCATTTGCAGGAACTTGGAGAGTCTAAAAGGTTTAATAAATCTGTAGAAAACTTGTTTTTGTCTCTCACAACACATATAAAAAGTAAGTAGCTTTCACTGTTTTGTCATTCTATAGTAATGTAGTCAAGTGTTTCAATTTTTTGTCCACAGTGTTGGCCAAGAAATAGTTATAAAACAAGGATGTTGAGTAATGGCTGAAATTATTAATGCTAAGGCTGTGCCAACCTGAAAAATAATACAGTAAATCTAATTCTCCTTCAGTACTCTGTTGTTTCTTAAATAAGCTGATTATATCAACGAAGAATGGCTTTCCTGTAAGGATGGAAAAGACTATATTGTACAATCTTTAGATTTACCAGGTGTTCAGATGCAATGTATTTAACTCAGCACGGAGTAATAACCAGTTTCTGCTGTACTGATCTTCATGTTTTCTGTCTGACTGAACCACAGCTGACTCTGTCAAAGAGTCTGTCATTTAACGGAAGTAGAGTCTAATATTTTCATTTACTGGCAGTTTTCATGAGGACTTTCTTCCTCTTTCTCAGTCTGTCTAGCTGAGTGGGTTTTTTTCAGTGCATACTTCTAAGTGCCATCCAGTCCTAACAACTCTTCTTTCATTCTGATACTTTTGGTTGCTTCCATTCTCTTATGCTGCCTGCTGTTCCTTGGGCTGCAGACTGTGTGTGCATCTCTAAGGCTAACTACACTAAGGACAGCCAGCCTGTGTGAAAAACAAATTAAAGGCATCAATGACTAGAGGAAAACAACTTCTGAGCCTTAGGAAGATTACAGAGGCTTGCGAATTTGCATGCATTTGAACAAACCTTAATATTTTCTTACTGGCATCAACTTGCACAACACCACATGTGAGACCAGACCTGAATAAAACTGGCTTTAGTGCCTTTCTGCCTTTCCCCCTAACCTCTTGCCTTACATCTTGTTTGGTCTTTACTTTCTTCTACCCATTCTACTGGCCTTTTTTTCTTTAACTATGCAAATTCAGTGTTGTGTCTGTGTGAACACATTAACGCTACGCAGAGACACGGTGACTGTGGCTCCAAATAGAAGTATAGGGTGGTGTAGGACACTATTACAGGAAGCAGATAGCTTAGGTAGCGCTGAACTGGATGCAAAGTAATTTATTCAGTTTTCTGATAGTTTGAAGCCTGCTCATATCCCATAGTTACCAGTAAAACCTGTCAGGACTGCAGCAAGTTAATGTATTAGTTCGCTGCTACCAAATGGAAAGTCCTCCTCCACTCGTGTCTTTCTTCTTTCTCTGTTTCTAGCCTAATGCTGCCATGACTTGAATTAGCACCAGTGTTTCTGGATCCCCTCCATAAACTGGTTTAGCTAATTTTAAGGGCATAACATTAACCTAGTCGAAACATATAGATACTTTTCTGCTGTTTTAGTGAGTTCAGTAGGCTCAAGATAGAATATACATGTTGGAATGTGTACAGTGGATGATGCCATGAGGTCAGAAGCCAGGGATTGAGGAGGGAAGAGCGGTGGTTGAAGAGGGAGATGGCAGCAATTTGGTAGATCAGCTCAGCTGTGTGAGAAACCTCACGCAGGTGCTATCATCCTAATTAGGGTACAGTGGTTCCATTTGTGACAAAATAACAGGTTGTTGCAATCACTGAAGTCAATAATTAAAAAGCATTGGAAGTCTTACGGAGAGAAAGAACTGGGTTTCTTAAGAAACCAGCTTTTTCAGACAATATGGCCTCCAGTGAAGCCTGGTGCAGTGATGATAGGTGCTTCTGATCACGAGTGTCTAAAGTTAGTACTCTGTATCTTATCTAGATAAAAAGGTCCTGGTTTGCAGAGGTATTTATTACGCCCAGCTCTTGTGCATTGCAGTAAATAAACATGGAGAACCTCGTTATGCCTCTGATTCTATCGCTGGAGCTGGTGTGTGTGTCTGAGGGCAGTAGGAACAAAGGATTAGAGCGTGCAACACAAAGCGGCCATTGTACAGTCTGCTCTTTACACTGTTACCTCCTGTTCCAGCATGGTTTGGCAGCAACAGGAGATTATAATCCAAGGGTTGCCATTTGGTGAATGTAAAATGAGTTTCTGGTTGTAGTTTTATTTGCAGTGAAAAGTCACTGGTTTCATTTACAGAGGTGGCTTAATTGAGCCTCCATTTGAATAGGCCACATGGCTCCTTAATGGTGTACAAAGAGTACAGTAAACATCTGAGGACTGATTACTGCTAAGAACAAAACTAACCCAGAGTGTCTTTAAAAATTACACTTGAGTCCCATTGTTTTTCAATACCATTATTGTCATATTGTCTGCTGTCTGAGAGCTTTCTTCACAGAGGTTCATGTTGTGAGAAAAATATTTATTTCTTCTGTATGAATTAAACATATTATAGTCTCTCATGAAGAATTAATAACTTATAAGTGGTACATGAAATAGCTATCTGGGATTAGCAATAAAGTACCTACCGCTCAACCTGCTCATTTGCAACTTCAGAAATCATGAATGGGTGCTGCCCTTCCCTTTAAGTGAAGTTCTGAATGTACACCGAGGAATAAGAAGTGAAAAGTGGTGCATTAAATGTCCAACTGTCCTGTAGACTTATTTGACAATAAACTAGATGTTACTGAAGCGCTAATTCAATAAGGTCCTTAAGTATGGATAAGCTTATCCATGAGTAATGTTATTGAAGCCAATGAGGGCTACTCATGTTCTTAAAATTATATGTGATTTGGGACCAGAGTATGCAGTATCTCTCCTTTCATACATATTTTGAATAAATTTCTAAATATTTTCCAATATGCTCTGCTTTCTGATTTTCACTGTCATGTTGCTTTATGTTCTTATAATGATTTTGCTTTTATTGTGAACCAAGCCACTTTACAAATTAAACTATACACATGGACTATAGTAGCTATTTCTGCAAGGAAACTGTATTTGATGGCAGTAGCTCTGATGACAGGCAACAAAAAGTATAATTTCCAATTGAAATAGCAGGAAAGATTTAGGCATGCAAAGTATAATTATATAAAATGTGGCGAGCACTTGTTGTCCCATCTGTTTCTTACTCTTAGGAGATCAACACTAAAGTTGCAGGATGAAAGTTTGAAAGCTACAGAATTAGCCTAAAAATTGACAGGATTGCTTGCAAAGTTTTTTATAGTGACTTTTCTCTTTCTTTTCTCTCCAGAAATCTCAAAGTCCCAGAATGATATGACTGACAGGTGTGTCCTAACCGCAGACTGTGGGAAGAATGTGGAAAGAAGGTGGCAAAGAAGGAGCCAATCTGACACTGCCATCAACATTACAAGCAAGGTATCCATATTATTATACACACTCTCGAACTGTAAGAGCTGTTTCAGGAATGAAAAATATTTGTGAGGGCAGTGACTTACACGGTGGAATTTTACTCTTATTGTGTGAACAGAGCTTAGCTGATGTTCACTGACCATGATCAGAACTCCGACTCTTCACAAGGTTTTTGACAGAATCTGCACAATTGATTTCAGTCCTGAGTTGAAATGTTGGACTGAGATTTTTACAAAGACCCTCATATAGGGAGGGAGGGGATGGGTCATTTTGCTCTCAGGTGTTGACAGGCTCTCTTGAGGCTGATTCGATGTCTGCTCTACGTGACTGTTGTGCTACAGGGATGTGCTCTGTCTTGCCCTCTTCCTGCCCCTTTTGCTGCTGAACAGGACCAAGCTATGACCATAACTAAACCATCCTCTCTGGCACTCCATGAGCATTTTTTAAGTTGGCAGTGAGGAAACATTGCTGTTAGTTGCTGCGCAACTTCCCCTTTCCTTTTGCTTTGGTTACAGTCTCTAGCTTTGTGTTTTCTTGAGAAGTTTGAGAAAAATCCAGTCATCTGTTTTCCCACAAATTGTGCAGGGCTGAAGATGATGTCACACTTCTGCTTTAAAGTTACACTGAGGATTCTATTTTGTATGCTTTCAGCTCTCAAGTGACTGAACTTTGTCCGTAGTCTGTTTTCCACATAGTGGGTACTTACTGAATTGCCTTTTTCATCTGAATGAGGTAAATGTGGTCTGCTAAGTGCCTGAATTAGATGCTGAGAAAAGCTCTTGCTTTGGGCCAGACCTCGTGGCACACATTACTCACAGCTCCCTTGGTGGACATTATTCACTTTCCTCTGAAGTGTCAGGTGCTGTTAAATAGAAGAGACAGGATGTCAAACTGCATGGACTAGCAGCCTGAATTGGCCCAGCAAGTCTGTGAACTCTGTGAAATTAGTTATGGTATTTTTGTATGCAATTAAATTATGCAGAGAATTGGTAACAATTATTGGTTACTGGAGTGCTCCTTTCATTGTGGCAAGCCGCATTTCAGTGTTAACTTTATTCCACATGCAGACCATTGCTCTTTTAATGCATTGGAAAAACATCAGAGTTGGAGATAATATGGATTTAAACTATGCTACATCACCCACTGATCACAAATAATCAGTCATGTTTCAAAGATGGATATGGACTCTTTGGCTTGAGAAACGCATTAGAAGGAGATTCCAAATTATTTTTGTGGGGTTTTGATTGCCCAATTAAAGATTTAGGTCTTAATTTATGTCCACACTTTGCATTGCATGTTTTGAAGGATAGATTTCAATGTTTGTGTGCCTGAGCACTATTTCTCTGAGCCACAGACCTTTTGTTTCACTTAAACCAGTTAGACTATCCTTAAGCTAGAATTTTAGTTTTACTAGAATAACTTTTGATTTTTTTCTTGTAAATCTAATTTTTGGCATTTTAATTTTTTTCATGTTGAAGGAAATTTTACTCTTCTGTTCCCACACTTACATGATGACTTTGTGTCTTTACTGTGAGTTTAAAAACTACTCTTAATTTCTGTCAATGACACTATTTGTTATTCTTCAGGTTTGGTTTTTTTTTTCTTTCCCATCTTTGTTTTCCTTTAGTAAGGATAGCTGTTTACATCCCTACTAGAGCTAGACCTTAAATTATGGGACAGAACCTCTTTTAAATTACACTTGCAAAACAACTAATTACATTTATAACAAAATATGATGTAGAAATCTTACTTGTGATTTCCACACCAGAGAGGACTTTGCATTTTCAGAGAACGAATCAAAACAGTGGGGTTTTTTACCCTAGAAAGTGTATGTTTTTCTCTTGGACTGTAAAGTAATAGCTGAATGTGCAGTATATGCAAAACTGGGGCACTACTTCAGTCTCAAGAACATTATCTGTTTCTTAAATAAGTTTTCTATATTTGTAATGTGTTCAGAGCTTGATTCCTTCAGGCTAAAGTTTAAAGAGATTATATTTAACCTCATTATTAGTGAGAAAACCCTAATGCAATGGCAAGAACTACCAGCCAGTGTAAAATCTGGGTTTGGGAAGTTAATTGAATAGTGTTTTCAAGGGCCTCTCGCCATCAGAACCTTGAAGTTTATTAAGGGAACTGGAATTATACCTGCCTTCCTGGGGGAACAGGCAGGCATATGCAACATGTGGAAGCTGTTTGGGTGCATTGGTAGCTGTGGGATACCTCTCCTGTGACATTAGAGCTGGGCTACAAGGGAGTCTTGCTTATGTGACCTGATGCTAAGTTTAGCACTGGTAGTTATGGTGCCTCGTCAGTCACTTTTTGTCTGTATGACACAACTGAAGTCTTCCTGATCCAAGTAGAAGCTAAAATTCAGCGTGTTGTAGGTTGTTGTGTTTAGCAAATTGAATCAGTGGTGTTTTGGGAAATACACTATTTTGGTTTTGTTTGGGATTTTTGAGGCTATATTCTCAATGCGTTTTCTGTCTATTTCCCCCTCACAAGGGAACATAATTCTCACATCTCTTCTTAAGGTAAGGCAGTTATTACACATAACAGTATTTGTGTGTTATAATAACAGCCTACTGGTTAGGATTTTGTACATCCTGGTTTTTTTAGAAGTAATCTCAATATATTATTTAATTGCTTGTCCTCATCCTTTAGTGCTCTCTGCTGACCGGGCAGGAGGGGTTCTCAGATTTGTTAAATATATATTACCTGTTTCTTTTAAACAAAAAGTCCCAATTCTTTTTGTTGATTTTAGTCAGACTGTATTCTTTCTAGTCTTTCTAGTAACCTCTGTTACACAACTTGAAAAAGAAATTTTCTTATATCCTAAGCACATAAAATTTTGTACCTTGCTCTTTTCAGACCCATTGAGCTGCGAACGTGCTTTTCATAGATTGTATTATCCAGGGAAAGTGGTGTGCTGGAATGAGCTAAAATCTAATTTCAGCATATTTCTAGCCCAATGTATTAGTCTTTTGGCACTTCTTTCTATTAACCATTGTTTTTTGTAACAGAGGTGGCTGAAGAAAAATCTCAATGAGTTTTGCTATATATATATATATATATATATATATCAATCTTTATGAAATTATCAGAGTTTTCATGGGAAAATTAGAAAGATGAACGGACAAAGTAAAAGCAAAGTCAAGAACACCTTGGAAATTTAAGCTTTTTCTATAAGCAAAGTTAAATATGAAATTGTCTTTTTCTGTTTTCAAGACTCTTTCAACATATATTCATTCCTGCATAGGTAAACATGGGCATGTGTCATACATTTTGCAAAATACTATTTTTCATTTCCTGGAGGCAAGATTAGTTTTTTTCTTCCAAAATTACTGTTTTGTTAAGAGGTAATAAGGTCTTTTATTTGTATATTACTACTTTTGGTCTGTTATTAGTAGAATGTTGTTAATAATTGCTGTGGTAGTGATCATTACATTAGTTGGTGGTATGCTGATTTTAGAAAATTATTAAAATAGTGAATGTACTACTAGCTGGAATGAGAGAGTTATAAACCAACAGTTAAGTTACTACATGATAATTGAAAGTGTGCCACCTGTATGACCTTGATCAGAGTAAATTATAGCTATTTACTGAATTTTCTTTTGATAGCTTTCCTGAAGGAATCAGGACATTTTCTTTATATTAAAAAAAAAATTACTTTCTGAATTTCTTACAGATGAAAAGTACACCCAGTCTGCAACAGCTCATCACTGGGGCCCAAAATGACAGTGATATTCTGGCAAAAAGTAGTTGCAAGGAGGAAGAAGACATAACAACCAGTCCCACAAGTGATACAGTTTTCTGTGATGGCAGAAAACATGTAAGTTAAAGGATGAAAGACAACAGAAAGAGCGCTTAAAGGGAACAGATATAACAGCTTGTGCAAAATATTGGTATATTTTAGATTATATTAAAAAATGCAGGAAGAATTTTACTTGAATTTGTATCTGATGAAAAACTGACTGTCACGGTTCTCATAGTAACACTGTGAACTTTCTGAAGCATAAGCCAAATCAGATTAATAATGGATAGTCGAGAGATGGATACATCCATTAATAATGAATAATTGATTAAGTGGCTTCTTCTGAATTTTGCAAATGCAACTAACATTTTTCCTATTTTATATTAAGGTTGGGATTATGAACATAGTACTTTGTAATCTAATAGCCAGCTTTTTCTCTTCAAGCTTCATTGAACAGAAGGGTTTTGTCAGTCTGCAAGAGCTATGGTGTTGGAAATGTCAGTGGAAATTCAAATGTCAGGATGTCAGTGAACGAAGAGGAAACTGACAGTGATGGAAGCCAGGGGAGCAGTTCACAGGCTTAGGGCACAATCTTCAATCATCCTCTGATGGATGGCACTTTGAATACTGCAGATGAGAGAGAGGGAAGCTGGTTATAAATGAATTCAGCACATGCTTTAAAGCCTCTATGATTAACCGTGGAAGCTAATTTCTATGTATTAGTGATGAGGTTAAGCAGGGTGAAGTATCCAAAGAATTCACGACCAACCTTGCAAAATGATTTAGGGACTCAAAATTAAACCAGTCTCCTGGCTTTACAGAGAGGTATAAACACACACAAAGACCTTGGTGCTCTCTGACAGTCTGCTGCACTGTGGAGTCTGAGGTGTTAAGCTGACAAATGGGTAATAACTTGTGGATTACATTTCTGATGCAAACAACAGCCATTTGAACTGGGCTATAAATGGCTCAGGCTTCAAACTGTAATATTTTTCTACTATCTTATAAGGGGGAACAAATTCCATTAAGCTTCTCTTTATGGATAAGTGCAGGATGTTGAAGGCCACTCCATAAAAATGTATCTTCCAGAATATCAGATGGCATTGCTTTCAGTCGTGCCACCAGAAGTACAATACAGGAAGTCATTGCTAAATCCCTGTTCACTGAACCAAAAGGATGGTGACTTCTACACTGAATGTATGTGACACCTGAGCAGGTGGGAGAGGTGTGGTGATATTCAGTCCAGAACACCTACCCAGCCTTTCTAAATAAATGAGGTGTTCTGTGGAATAAATATTCGGGACTTCCACAGAACTTTTTTTTTTTTTTTTTTTTTTTTTTTTTTTTTTTTTTTTTTTTTTTTTTTTTTTTTTTTTGGACATGAGCTAAGACAAAACTCTCTTTGTATTCCATTGTCACAAAGGATTTTGGTGGAAAATAATAATTTTCTGCTCAGGCGAACAAAAATATGCCAGTGAGTGAAAGAGCAGAGCAAAATAAAGTTGCAAGGGAGCTTGATTACACTGATAAGCATCTTATGGAGTGAGCAAGATTGCATGTCAGAAGCATCAGGTCAAAAAACTCCTTACACTTCTTTTGACTTCCTCAGTAAGCACTCTGGCCCTTCGTTTGTCGTGCATGTGTGTTACTTAAAGTTTATAAGATAGAGTAGATAGCTGCCTTAATCTAGTGGATCTGTTGGTGTGAACTGAGCATTTGGCATGCTGCACCAACCAAGAAAAGTATCTACATGGAAGAGAGATACGATCTTATAAACATTGCTCTGCAGCCTTAGCTGCTGGGTTGTGCAATGCAGAACTCCTTGGTTAACCAGTCCTGTGTGGCTTGGTGTTTATTTTCAGAGGGAGGAGTGATCTAATGCAGATATCTTAGCAATCTAGGGCAATGTTGCTGTGAGACTAATCGCAACAACAGTTGAGTCTTCGTGGCAAACGCGATGTAAAAAGTTCCTAGGGCTCACCTTAAAGAATATCATTATAAATGAATGGAGACCAAACTATTTTTAGTTGATACTTTGTTACAGTGAAGGCTACATAGCACCATAAGTTAAGTATCTGGGCTGGGCCACACAAAGCATTATAATCTCTTCCTTCTTTGCCCTGTCGTGGCTTCTGTAATGCTGGATGCAAGTGCTTTTCGTATACGTGGATGGACAGCATCCAAACCTTTGCCCCAAAGGTGAAAGTAGATTGAAAGGAGAACAAGGTGAACTGGGAAACATCTTCTCTATGCACCAGAATACAACAACTGGAAGTCTTAATCTTTCCTGAATGATTTGCAGTATGAAGTGTGTCATTTTTATGTGGAATTTGGGCGTCTTGTAAAGTATTTACTGGATGTGCGGGCCACTTTTATTTCCTTTAATACATGACTGAACCTAATGTCTCAGTGGTGTACTCTGCTATGAGCTATGTATTAAAAGGAGTCTAATCCAAAGTTTTGTACATTCTTAGGTTTCAGAGGTTTTTTTTCACTTCCTTTCAGACACCCAATTTTCTCATGGGAAGTGACATAGCAGTTTTATTCAAAGACAATTTCTAGATCTAGAAGTGACTTAAAACAATTTCCTAGCCTGGAGAGCTTTGCCCTAGAAGAGGGCAAAGCTGTAGTATTACAATTGCACTCATAATTTTTGGGGCTGTTATGGAAGCAATGAAATGTTTTATACAGGTTACCTTAAATTTTGTGATATACAGTAGCTTTATAGTCACGTCTATAAAGATACTGACTATTAAAGGAAATAAATGTTTTGTCCTGTTTGATCTGAAACTCATTTTCCCAAATGTTTGTCTTTTCTTAGGGGAGTTTGTTTAGTCTTAACAGCACTTGCACTGAATCTGGCAATTTTGGCAAAGCTAATGTCACAGGAGAAATAGAGTTTGCCTTAAGATACATCTTCAGAGCTTGCATCTTGGAAATTCGCATCAGGGGATGCAAGAACTTGGCTTATGGAGAAGAGAAGAAGAAAAAGTGTAACCCGTAAGTATTTTGCAGAGGAGGAGAAAAAACATAAGGAAAATATTCTGGTTTTTTGAGATACTTATGCATGTTGTGATTAAAATGGATTGATATATGATGGTATGCCACATTGGTACTTTCAGAACATCCAACCTTCATACCAGCCCTTTGTACATAAACACACTGCAAGACAAATAGGTTTCATACCAGTACTTATTCCATTCTGACCGTTTTCTGCTAGGAATTGTCACTTTCCCTGCCTGTGAGCAGGCAGTTGGGTATCTATGTTGCTGATGAGTACCTTTGGACATCAAGAATAGCTGTTCAGATCTTAGTTCTTAAGCTGTGCCCAGAAAATTAACATCTTAGTGGCTGAAACATGAGACGACCTGTTCCTAATGTGTCTGCTGACTCACTGTGGGTCATTGGGTGATTGCTATACTACTTAGGTGCTTTCATCTTCTGTAATAAGAGTAAAAATGTCAAGTGCTGCAATGGATCTTAAAGTCTAAAACTGCTTAATAATTATACATCATTGTAAGAGGAAGAAATATTTCCTTCTATGGATAAAATATGCCATAGAAATTCTTGCTGGACAGTTAAACCTTGGTGATTTATCTCTTTATTACTTAACAATGCTCTCTGACCATAGAGCAACCACTGACAGAAAATCAACAGGTAGAATACCTAACTACCTGTTCTTGCCCCTGCTGTCACACCGTGTTTGAGCATCTGAGTAACCACATTGAAATTGCAGTCACCTTCACCCAGAGGGTCGAGGGCTTTTGTGCATCTTGCAGAGAATATTCATAAGGACAAGCTTGGTGATGAGCAGTGCCTTGCAGGAACAGCAGCTTGTGTAGCAGGACAGTTTGGGAGCACTTCAGAAGTGGGTCAAGGTTCTTTAAGTCCACTGGTAATTAAGGCAGGCAAACAATTGCAGGAAGGCTGAAAGGCAATGTGGGAAGTGCTGTGTAGTAAACATTATGTTCTCTATTGGCATATTTATATATTTCTGTTGGTTTCCCAGCCAACAGAAAAAGTATAGTATAGTCACTTAACATGCTTTCTGAAAAGCAGACTTTTAAGTGATATTTAAAACCTGATGAATTACTTAGGTTATTTGCTGGTTTGAAGTCTGACTGGCTACTTTTTAATTAAATTAATTTGAGGTCATAGAAAGAGAGGGGCTAAAACTTCTAGGACCTGTATATTTTAGAAAGTAGTTTTATCTGTGGATAAGTTCAGAAAAAAAGATAGGAAAAATGTGTAAGTTCTGCAATGATGATATGAGGTACAACTGATTTTATTTATCGAGCAAGTTAATCAAAAGGCTGTTTTAGACTGGTTTAAATCACAATACATGAAATATATACAACAAATACAGTTTAAAAATATTTAGTATTAAGTAAACAATCACTCCTTCCCCTGACAAGCTGTGAGCACTCTCTACGGCTAAAACTCTTTAATTTTGAAGTCATAACCCAATTATAGCCCACTGAACTGATAGTAAGGAGAATATTTAGGTATTAGAGTTCACTTGACCTACACATGAGAAACTTCAGGTAGGATCATTAGTGCTGGATTTTGGTCCAACTCAGCTTCCAGAAACTTTTTTTACAGGTTTTCCTTGAATCAGTTAGGGCAATTTTGACAACTTCAAACGATCTCTCATTTTCATTCCAGTGGCTGTTAGAACAATTAGCGTTTTTAAGACTTATGAATTATTATGTATTATTTATGTGATAATACCTTTTTTTGCTACATGGTACGTGGTGTTGTGAAGACAAGATATTTTGTTTATGAACAAGCAGTAGTGATCCTAAATTTGATTGAGTTTATTTTTTTTTTCTTTGAGCACATAATATGCTCTTTATTTTCATCATAAACTGTCACTAAAACTGGCAAGGTGACTTCTTTAGGGGCTATTTTATCAGAGGCCAAGAGTAGGAAAACTGAAGATTCATATTCAGATCCTAATCCTTTCTGAGTTACAATGGAATTGAAACACATTAGCTGAGTGATACACAGAGTTCCTTATAGTCTATCTGCTTTGACTGAGAAAAGATATAAATAACATTTACCCACTTTGTTGATGGAAGCTTACAAAGTCAATAAAATTGTTTAAGAAATAAGAGACTCCTCTCATCTAATTGTTTTCTCCCTGCCCCTTCTGATCATGTTCAACGCATCTTTCTCTCTCTATATAAGGTATGTTAAGGTTTACTTACTTCCTGATAAATCTCCTCGGAGTAAGCGAAAGACAGCTGTCAAAAAGAACACAGTGGATCCAGAGTTCGATGAGACTTTGAAGGTACGGTTTGCAACTGTGTGCTGCTAAGTGTGCTTTTCTATGGTACAACCCTGCAAGTTCTGAATCCACCTGATAGGGCAAATTTAGGAATCGCTGACAATAATAATTTTTAAAACTATGTTTTTTCAGTCCAAATAAGAGAAAATGCTTTTGGAGTTGCAACAGTAAATGGCAAACTGTTAAAGGAGTCTGCCTTTGTCCAAGAGGGCACTTTTATTTAATACCGGTGTTGTTCTAAGTTATCTTGGGGCTAGAGCAAAGTGTCTTCTGCAGACATGGGGTTTGTACACTCAGAAACTGAGTGTATTGCGGAATTGTTGGAATTTTACACAAGTATTCCTTTCAAGTGGTACTCCTTTGCTCAGTGACACTGGGAGTTTCCCTCTGCAGTTAGCTGAATACTAACTGACTTTAACCATCTCTAAAACATTGCTTCCTCTTCCCTGTGCCACTGATGCCAGGCCATTTCTTTGAAGCGTCTAATTTCAAACATTAATAATCCCACCAGAGAACAGTAGTTATGATTTAAATTCCTAATTGTCTTGACTATTACTTCTTTCATTATTACAAGAACTGTGTGTAGGAAATAGGAGCCATTTTTCTTCCTTCACAGACACTTAGTGAAATATGAAGCTGAGTACTGTCAACTGGGAGAGGCTGGGTTAGTTGTCAGTTGTTCCCAGCTCTAGTTTTGTAGATCACTACAAACCAAGCAAGCTGCTGTAGAACATAAGATGGTGAGTTTTAGCCTCTTGTTCTATGAGTAACATATTGTCTTGCAAGAGATTAAGAAACAAAGTTAATGGAGGGACAAACTGGTAGTTTTGTTTTTTGAACTACACAAAAGTTTCAGCAATACCCCCAGCTCTGGGTGTATATAAACACCAAGAATTAGTAGGGAGCAAAATGGGCAAGATCTTTGAAAAGACCATAGTTAAAATTTGGTAACAACAAAAAAGCATTTTTGTAACATATGTAATTCTCACACAGCTCAAAGTCTGTATATAAGGTTTAAGTTCAGGGGAAAAAAAGAGCCCACAGTTGAAATCATTGGTCCTAATTTTATAGTCCTTTTTCAATGCTAGAGTCATGCAGAATTGGTAAAAGGAGAGTGAGAACCATGTCTAAGCTGGCTGCATAAACTCTAAAGGTGTTTACTTCAAAATCTTTAAAATTAGTTTAATGATTAGTTTATCCACAGTAGCAAAAAAAGCCAAAAGTGCACATCACTATTGCAGGTGAACTACATCATGCCACTGAGATCCAGCGTGGGGGGTTTCAGCTGCAAGTCAAGGCACCTGCATTTAGAGGGGGTTGCATGTGTGAGAGCTGTGCAAGTGCTCCTGGGAATCACTGGAGCCCAGGGTGGTTCAGGGTGATTAGCCACAGAGCCTACACCCAGCTTCTGATTCAACAGCCTAAGTATGGATAGTGATTTCCTTGCCTCTCCATTGCCTCCAGCTTTCAGTGCAGGTCACCTCTGGGCTGGGTATCATGTTTGCCAGTCTCATGGGGGTATATTAGATACCCACATACCATGTACCATGTGGTACATTAGATACCCAACAACGTCTCAAAGGGCTCTAACTATGTTTGGGCAGTGGATCAAGGCTTTAATTAGTGATCACCTGCATTACTTCCTTGCCCCTGCTGACTGCATTAAGTAGATGTCCACTGAGCAGAATGGGAGTTTTAGCACCATCATTAGAGGTCTTAATCTTGAACTGGCTTCCAGAGCAGCCAAATTCCACTGGGAGTGTAAACAGAAATAATAATAATTAAAAAAAAAAAAAAACAGCTCTCAACAAAAACCAAACCAAAAAAAAAAGAAACAAACAAAAAAAGCAAACAAATGAAAAAAACACCTAACCCAGCAAAAATGGTCAAGGATTATTAAAGTTCTGAATTAATAATCAAAATCTTTAGCAAGGCAGGTAAAGGTATTCCTGGAATGTTGATATATATTTGAATGAGCATTATTTAGCATTTAAATAGTGGGGTAATATGCAGATTGCAAAGCACACTCAGACAACATGGCTCATATCTGCCTTCAGCCATGCTGTGCCCAGGCTTCCTGTGAGCAGGTCATGAGCATGGGCCTGCATTCATCCTGTGTATTGCTCTGTAAATGCTGTTTATCTTTCTAGTACAAGATTGAATACTCCCAGCTGCGAAGTCGGCAACTTCAGATCTCTGTGTGGCATGCGGGAGCACTCAAATACAGGGTGTTTTTGGGGGAAGTAGTGATTCCACTGGCAGCATGGAATTTTGAAGAGGACTCAGTGCAGTTTGACTGGTATCAACTCAAACCCAAGGTGATTCTTAGTTTTTGTTCTTAATTGTATTTTAAGAGTAAGATATAGTTAAGGCTATGAAAAAGATCACCCTTCTGAGATCACTGAGGGGAAAAATGTTGTTAATTCAGTCCATTAGTCAGATGTGTCACAAACATAAATAAGCTATGAGAAAGATGTGGAAGAGAATGATTGCAGTAACACAAACTTCTGCATGTCCCTTTCTTAAGCTTGAAAAACCTGAAGATGGTCTTACCCAGTACAGCGGTGAACTCCTCTTGTCTGCAAGACTCTTGGTACCAACCCAGTGTAAAAATTTCCAGTTTGAAGGTATAAAATGTTTCAGCATTCATAGAGGTCTTTTCCAATGTAAATGGTTCTATGATTCTGTGAATCCCTTGGCTAGAAAAGAATTGAGATCAATGAAGCGCTGGCAATGTGTCTATGTAATATTCCTGTATGGGATTTTTAGCAGCTACGGCAAGGGGTGCTTTGTGGTGTATTAATTTTTACATTATTTAAAACTGAAACATCTGCCAGCTTCATAGATTTGTTCTGTTTAATACAGACAAAAGCTGTACATAACAATGGCAGCTGTAAGATGCATCCAGCCGTTTTGCAAACTTGTGCCTGTCATAGTATTAACAGTAGAGGCTATTCTGGTGGTGAAGCAGCAGTTTTATTGTCCAAGGTAGAGACTGCCAATTTAAGGGAAAAGTGGAAGGGTAATGTTTGCAAGAGTACCAGATCAGCATCCTTGGCTTTTTCCGGTTGTCTCATTTTAGAGAGACTGTTTCACTTAGAGGGGTGATAGGTTCAAAATGTGTAGTCAGGGTTCAGTTTTTGGTAATGAAAAGTTGTAAGGTACATTAAATATTGCTGTAGTATGTCAGAGCAAGCATCTGCTGGTGGAGTGAAATAAGCACTTTGAGTGGGAGGAATAGGAAAGAACTCATTTTCCTTACCTCAGATCACAGGGAAGTGTATAAAGTATCAGAGCTCTAGTAATACTCTCTGTGTCAGGACCATAGCAATAGGTAGAGACCAATAGGAAGCTTTAATTAGCTCTTTGGTTACTTTTGTTCCCTTCTGTTTTCCAAATGACCCCAAAGTTACCAGCTTGCTTTCTTCAATTCTTACTCCCTATGCAGGCCTGTGTATTGGGTCTCTGCTCTGTACTTAGAGCTGTGAGAGGAGCAGCATCACACCACGGGTTTGGTTGCTTCTCCTGCTTCTGACTGTTCCAGAGAAATGCTGCTGTGGGTACTGTCCTGTGTTAACATTTCACAAACACAGCAGAAAGCTTTTTGTCTTTGGAACAGGAATCACAAAGCAGCCTGCTACTCACTGCTTGGCGTTTTTGGTGTGAATCATACACTGTACAAATATGTTAAAATCTTTCAAATATTCTTAGTACAGCCTTATGACTCCTTATCTCAGTAGTACCACTCAGGCATTCCCCTACTTATGGCAGCATCTTAACCTATGAGCTGAACTGACCAGGCATTTCATGTGATAAGTACTCCTTTTTCAGGAAATAAAGACCAAGGCGTTCCCAACTACCAGCTCCAAGTTATGATATTTGGGGCTAAGAACTTGCCCATGCTGAGACCTGCTGGAATGTTGAACTCCTTTGTTAAAGGGTATGTATGAGACCTAACAAACACTACAAATAGGAAATGTCACATATGTTCTGTGCAAATGTATGTATTAACATGTTTTCATCAGCAGACTGGCATGTGAAAGTGCCATCGTCTACACTCTTAGTCAGACTTCCTTGTAATGGTTTTGTTTGTCTGCAGAACAGCAGCAGTTTGCAGAGTGGTGACAAGTCCCACCTGCCTTCTTGGTCTTGATATTTAGAATTTAATGATGTCATTAACATTTAGAGTTCATTAGTTTAAGGATGTGCTTTTAGATATTAGGAGAGGGAAAAAAAGTGCAAACATACAGTATTGTCATTCCTAGTTCCAGCTTTTGCAGAATTAAGTAAAGCTTAGGATACATTGAAAACTTTTATCGTCTTCATTCTAGACATTTTGAAAGAAAAGGGACTGAAATTTTCTTCAGTTTGTTGAGTAGTTGGTATGTGGGATCGTTTTACTTTCCTGTTGTCAGGCCTCAGATGCCATTAGAAGTATGATACTGGGGTAAACCTACGTCTTATAACACTATTTCACCTGCTGTGGCACCTATCTTTGGTGAAATGGGTGAGCATTTTAGCTACTGAAAGACAGGTTTTAGGCAGTATTGAATAGCAGCACATGAAGTAAAGTCTCCTTCAGCAGTCAGTGACTGCAAAGTAAAAGCAGACCAGAAGAGCCTACTTGCAACCACATTAACGTCAAGCAGGAAAAGGTGTAACTCCCAAAATAAACACCCTAGCACCATGTTTTATCTTGCACCTAAACTGAATTTTTTGCTATTTAAGGTAAAACAAAGGGCCTTAGTTGATTATTGCAAATGCTCTGTTTTCTTGTTGAGAAATCAGTAACCTTGCTGAACTCTTTATTTTTTTGGGAAAGTTGTCTTATCCTTCCAAACCAAGCAGAGGTAAGGCAAAAGTCTCCTGTTCTGAAGAAAGAAGCCTGTCCTCAGTGGAAACACTTGTTTGTCTTTGATGGTGTGACCCCAGCTCAGCTACAGCAATCTTGTCTACACTTGACTGTCTGGGACAAGTCAGCTTTCAGCTCAAGTGATCAATTCCTAGGAGGAGCCAAGCTTGGTGCAAGTAAGTTCTTTACCACTAAAAGTTGAAGGTAATTTGGGGAAAAGATCTTTTATTTACATCCTAAACAACAATAATTATACTATGCTATTTATTACCTGCTATCATGTGCCTATACGTACATACAGTCCCAACCTGTCATAAGTAAATTGCAGTCTTGGGCTCTGATCCTGCAAGAACTGAAATATGTGTTTTAGTTCAGGTCTGTCAGGAAGCTCAAGGTTGTCAGTGGAAATTTTCAGGAAATTCATTTGCTGACATAGTGACTTTTGGGGTCAGGACCATCCCAAGACAAGCACAGAAATGGTCTGGCTCTAACTCAAATAGAGCTCTACTGTATTTTTAAAGATGTATTCCTTTAACTGTTTCTTATGAATTGGCTAATTTTAAATGATTTCTCAACAAAAGGAGGCACAAGAACTAATGACCTAATAGACTTCAACCTTGCTTATGTTGTATTTATACTTCAAAAGTATAAATACAATTTATTGCAATTAGTGCCTTAGGAGCTACAGAGCAGCTGAAATTACTGTAGAAGTGGATGAACAGGTTATTTTGTTAGCCAGTCCATTGGGCCAGAAGTTGGGTAAGGCTGAGTGAAAAGTAACTCTGACCTTTCCTTTTGCTTTCTTGCAGAGGAACTGTTTGGCTCTACAGACCTTGTTTCTCATTCAATACTCCCATGGCAGGAAGTGCTCTGCAACCCAAACATGTGGATGGATTTCACACTTGTACTACATTCAAATAAGGAAAACTTTAAATCATGAGAGATTATCACACAACAACTTTTCCTTCCCTATGTGTAATATTTTATACTCAAGTGGTACATACACTTCAGGGCTGGGGAAAGGTATGCTGCAAATGCACCCACTCTGGCTTTTGGGGAATAGAATTATATATTCGAAAGTGTGTAACATTCTGAATGTTTCATTTCTTAAAAAGTAAAGGCTTTAACTTGTGTCTTTATCTGGAGTGTAAAGTTAATATTGTTTCTTCAGGAGTTACAGTCTCAGTTTGAGATGCATTATGCTGACAAAGCGACAGTAGCCAGACAATATGCAGTTTTCCATTTCTGGGCATAGCCAAACTTTCATTATTTAGTCACAGCTAGGAATACTTCTCACAGAAAATAACTGTTACAGCAGGAAAGTTACATGCTTTCACTCTGAGGTTAATGTTTTATACACAGAACTGAAAATTAGCTTATCTTTGCTTGCTGCAAAGGGGAGATGCTAACGACTCTGCTTCAGTATTATCTACACTGCCACTATTATTTCACATGACGCTAAAAAGCACTGGCCTGTAACCACATCTCTCAAATGTGTGCTGCATCACGGTGCTTACAAAGCTAAGGTCTAAATTCTCCCTCACTAGGAGTCTGGGACAGCTGACAGACTAAGTGTGGGTGTAATAAGTTCCTTCTTATCTGCCACTGTAAGACAGATTTAACAAGTCTGATCCATAGGGTGTACAGCATGTGACAAGAGTTTAGCTCAGTTTATCATTTATTCATGGGGACAGGTAGAAACGCAAGCTTAGGCCAAACGACTATGTCAATTTTCCTTGCCTCAGATGTAGTGTTACAGTCAGCAGAAACTTCGTATATCCAACTGTAACTAGTGCTGCTGTGTTATACTTTGTTACTGCAAATATTGCCCCTTCTTCCTTTATAGGTCAGTGTGGCTTTTAAGGATTTAAGATTTAAAGACACAAGGACTAACAGGCTAAGCTGAGAACTAAAAGAGCAGTAGCAAACCTTACACAGAACACACCCCACACAAGAAACACTTGACTCCACATCCTTTGTTACTTTGCAGATCTTTTATTTAGATGTTTGCTGCTGCAAATAAAAAAACCCTCACACAAGATTCAACTCACGTATAATGCAGCATAGATATTGTAAATGGAAGAGAGGAGGTGACAACATACTGTATCTCACTTTCTAACAGATTTTCAAGGAAAGGGGGAGAGTGGGGGGAGAATGGTCACAGAAATGCTCTCTACTAGAGAGAATACAACTGTGATAATAAACAAGCAGTCCCTTCATCTTTGGAGTCTGAAACTTTAAATCAAACATTTAAAAAAATTAGAAAATTTGTTAGAAAAATAGGTGCAGTAAAATTGTATATATTGGATCATGTGTACATATAACAGTTTTCATTAAGTAAAAAAATGATCTTTACAAATAATGCTTTATAGTAAATAATCAGCTGCACTGTATCAGACTACAGTGTTGTTTAGGCATTTTTACAGATGCAAGTCTTATTAAATCTGAAAAGTAACAAAATATACAGAGCAAAACTATTTCCCTTTTAACTAGTACTGCAATCCACATGTTGCATATTTTTATATATATATATATAAATACTACACTACAACTGATCAGTAATGAAGTTGGAATGCAAACACAGTAGTGTATTTAGATTCCAACAGAGTATTTGCTACTTGTTACATGAAGAGAATATCAGTGTCCCTATGCCACACTTGAGCCATCACTGCAGAAATTCTCCAGCTGAGAACAGCAATCAGAAAAAGCCTAATTTCTACACAAAGTAGTTCTGAGGTGTTGTCAGTTCTTTTGTGTGTGGGGGGGTGGGCTGGGGAGGGGGAACACAGGCATCAAGACCAAGGGAAAAACAGGGTGTACAAGCACGTGAAAGGTTGTACACACATATACAGGTGCCTGCAAATCCTGAGTTCCAGAACCTGTCTTCTCAACTGCTGGACTTCACACTGTAACTAATAATACAAAGACATATGGCACAAAATTCACCCACAGATGCTTTTTTTTTAGACCGGGCTGAATCCAGCACCTCCACAGGACTTGTATCTTCAACTGGAAGCATAGCCTGCTAAAATTTGTCTTGCTTAAAGAGAGATGTGACATAAGGCCTTTTGGCACTAAGCAAAGGCATGAGCAAGTCACCAGGATCAGTGGTACAATAAGTTTTTAACTATATCAATTTCAGAGAAGGTACAGAATAAATGGGAGATTTAAACACCTCTGGGTTTAGAGAACATTTAAGTGTCATACAGTGATGCCTCCTCAGGAAAAAAAAAAACAAACAACAAAACCAAAAAACCAAACACAACAAAAACCCCCCAAAATAAGAACACAGCATTAAGATCTGCCTTTCCAACAGTCCTGTCTTCTTCTTACAAGTATCGTTACATCGCTTCAAACTCATCAATTCTCTGCTTGGTGTTGCCTTGCCGGATCTGCCGCAGCGTCTTGTACTTGTCACGACCCTGTCGCATGTTCTCTGAGTGGATAATATCGTTTTGGGTCCTCTTATTTTCATCTCTAGCCTGGGCCAGCTCATCTGTCAGTGCCTGCAATATGAAAAAAACATTAAATGCAGGTTATTTGTAAGAAGCTTCCAGCTCATGACAGTACAGTTCTTTGGTGAGAGCGGACAGTTGATAGATGACGGGACAGATCAGTAACATGGATACAATGTATGCTTTCCATAAACACTATGGATGATCTAAGTAATCTTTATATACCTTGGCTTTATTTTAAACTGCCTACAGGAACTGTAATCAAAGAGAAACTATCATACTTGGTGTGTTTAACCAAGTGGTTAAACGATGTTTTCCGGGAAAGATTGGTTCAATTACTCTGCCTCCCCCAAACATCATCTTACCCTCAGTTGACTCTGTACACGTGCATTCTTCTCTGCTTCAGTAATGCGCTTCTCCTCATTGCGGTCATTCCTGATCCCCTCACTGGAGAACTCCGCACTGTAGGCAGAGTACTCAGAGCCTTCATCTTGCAAGTTATCATGGACATGGTAGTTCACTGGCTCGTAGACAGGTGGTGGGGGTGGAGGTGGAGCAGTCATTACCAGGTGTAACTCCTCCTTTGTCTTTACCAGATCCTCCTGGGCTTCCCTGGCCTTTGGGAAAAGAGTAAAAATACTTGAAATGCATTTCTTGCTTTAAACCAGCTTATTCCAAGCCACTATGAAAAGCAAGGAAGAGAGAATTAAATCTCTGCAGCTCACAGTACTCTATTAGTCTTATACAGAACTTTTTTTTTTCTAGGTATGCTATCATCATTTATTGTGTAATGTGCAGGAGATCTAAGCAAAAAATCTTCTTCCACTAAAACAGCCTAGAAAAAAACTGTTCTGTGGGAAGTTACAGTTATCTTCATCCTGTTCTCCATTTGAAGAGCTGTAGGCTGAAGAGACACAAGTGCTATAGAGCAAGAACTTAGATTCCCAAGTTGGTATTTTGAATGCAGTTACGCACTAGGCAGGCACTTTCCTTGCTGCTTCAGTGGTTTTGCCCTCCCATGCAGCCCACAGCCCTAGTCAGAGGGCACTGGGAGCACGGGGCACTCTGAGCCTTGTGTGGTTTGTTTTTAGTTTTAGTGCATCATATGTTGTTAAACTATGCTGACCAGGAAGCCACCAACAATAGCACACAGTCCTCAAAATGGATAATTGCAGTGTGGCTGCATTTGCAGAATCTTCTCTTAACTGATGTTTTCAGACACTATATCATGGATTACAGGCACCATTTATCCATGGTGCCCCTCCCCCTCCTCATGGCTCTGAGACCATGTTCACATTTTTAGGTTTCATACAGGTTTCTATTTTGAATTTTGACAGTTTGTTGGAAGAAAGGTGTTTTGCAGGCATATTGCACATTCACCGCGAGTTTGCCCTTTTTCACTGCTGTACAGATGTTTGTCCCCCACATGTGTTGAGAACTCACACCAAGCTAAGCACCGCAGTGTGCTCTGCTCGAGTGTAGAACTTTAGAGCAACTTTGTAAGGCAGATACTCACTCTAATTTGCCACTCTTCGACCTCGCTCTCTTTACGCCTCCTTGCCTCTTCAAGAAGTGCAATCTTGGCTGTATACTCTGCAAGCTCTGTAGCCTGTTAAATAATAAAACTGGAATTATAAGGACTCTTAAAAAATCCCCAACCCAACCACCAAGCACAAAGAAACACTATTAACTGTAATAAAGAAATTAAGATAGAAAACAGTGCCACAATGGTGCTATGACGTGGTCTAGTACTTTACTGCACTAGGTTTTATCCTGGACAAGATGGCTTTGCCTTACTCAAGGGCAGAGTAGCATATCTGATCCTCAAAATGACTGGGTCTTACCAGTTGTTCCTGGCTCTTTATCTGGTCTATAGTTTGTCTTTCCAGCTCTTCCTTGGCCTGCAGAGCAGCTAAACGGTCAGCTTCCAAACGTTCTGCTTCCTCCTGGGCTCGTCTCCTTTCCTCCTCCAGCTGAATGGCTCTTTGGATCTGATCTGAGAGCTCTGGAAAAAGATCAGCGTGGTTAATCCACAAGCATGGTCAAAGCTAAGGAACTACGAACAGTCTCTCACGTAACTGCAGAAGTCACGACAGCACTTTACTCCAGCACGCAATATGCCCTTCACCGTGCTCCTCAAAGTAATTATTTGCATAATACACCGAGTAACTGGATTCAGATGAGTCAAATGTACATTATAATTAGATTTTCTGCAAGATGTTTGCATTAAAATGTCTGTAACACTGACAAGACTCTGCTGCCCTTAATTGACCAGATGTCACTGTCTCCAATCTGATCATCTGTGCACTGAAACAGAAGTTTTCATTTCACTGGAAAGACTTGCTTCCAAAGCATTTTTTTCTGCTAGGCATTAAGTAAAAAGTACTTGAGGGCTGAACTCTTGCTCACTGCTGGAAGAGGCTGTGCTACTTAAACCCTGTTGGCAACTGGGGAAAACAGAGTTCTTGCCCTTTGCTTCCCAAATACAGTCTGCAGATTTTAAGTTAGTTTGATACTTTGGATTATTACGAGTACTGTGAGCACATGTGTGTATTTATCCACATAGGAAGATA